GATTAGTTCAGTCAACTATCGGAACATGTGAACATTAGTTTCCGTGACCCTGAGATCAGAACTAGATTGTGCCTGGTTGCCACTATCAGCTACTCTAAAAGTGAGTACATTAGAAGGTCTTGGATACAATGGGAGAAAATGTGGAATAAAACTCAAAATTATCAAAAAGTCTGAGCTTACTGGTCAGAAAGAGACTGTAGGAACCCAAGACTATGCCCTTGGTCACCCTTCAAGTTTGTAACTGACCTTACCCTAGTGGCTCATTCTAAGCTGAGCAGTAGATAGAGTTATAGGGGGGCAACAACACTAGTGGGGTATGCATATCATGGAGTAGTCAACCATTCAAGCTCAAAGGGCAGCATTTGCCTACAGAAAAAGATCAGATGAGTTGGGAAAGAAGGTGGAAGGGAAATAAAAATCACAGGAGGAAGTTAATAGTGATGTTAAGTGGAGGGAATTTCAATAATTGAAATGAAACAAAGTATATGACTTGTTTAATATAAAATTGATGATCTGCTCTGTAAACCTTCATTCAGTTCACAAAAAGTTTTTTTAAAAAAACGTAGGTACAAATATCTGACTACTCCATTGCTATTCTAGTGAAGTTGCAATCAAATATTACTATATTGAAATACAGTACTATAATTTTCTTATAAATGTCTTTCTTGTATTTTTTCTTTATGGCAGTTATGGCAATATCTTTCTTTTACAATGGTATGTATATGTTGATGCTCTTATAGTCAAGTGCTGTAGAGTTAGTTCCAACTCATAGCAACCCTGTATAGGGTTTCCAAGGAGCAACTGATGAGTTTGAACCACTGATCTCATGGTTCAAACTGACCTTGTGGCCTAGTGCTTATTCTACAGCACCACAATAGGATAGGTTATATTATCTAGGGATTTTATAGGATAGTGAAGAGGCATCTGAATTTAGAGACACACTCAAGAGCAGATTTGACACATTGAACACTAATAACTAAAAACCAGAGGAGTTGTAGGAGGACATCAAGAACATTATACATGAAGAAAACAGAAGGTCATTAAGAAAGACAGGAAAGACATACAAGACCAAAATGGGTGTCTGAGGAAATTCTGAAACTTCCTCTTGAATGCATAGTAGTTAAAGTTAATGGAAGAAATGATGAAATAAAACAGCTGAAAAGAAAATTACAAAGGACAACTCAAGTATTCCTATGCAATGTGCAAATATCTAGAATTAGAAAACCAAAAGGTAATGTTTGGCATTTCTCAAGTTGGAAGAACTGAAGAAAAAATTCTCAAGCCTTGACTTGTAATATTGAAGGACTCTATGGGCAAAATATTGACTGATGCAGGAAGAATCAAAAGAAGAAGGAAGGAATACACAGAACCATCATACCAAAGAATTAGTCAATGTTCAAGCATTTCAGAATGTAGCATGTGATCATGAATCTATGGCATTAAAGGAAGAAATCCAAGTTGTATTGAAGGCATTGGTGGAAAAAACAAGACTCCAGGAACTAAAGGAGTACCAATTTAAATATTTTAACAAATCAATGAATTGCTGAAGATACTTGTTTGTGCCGAGAAATTTGGAAGACAGCTACCTGGCCAACCAATTGGAAGAGGTCCATATTTATGCCCATTCCAAAGAAAGGTGCCCCAGCAGAATGCAGAAATTATTGAATAGTATCATTAACATAAAATGCAAGTAAAATTTGCTGAAGATGATTCAAAAATAGTTGCAGCAGCACAGTAACAGTGTTTAGAAGAGAACATGGAACAAGGGATATCATTAATGACTTCAGATGGATCTTGGTTAAAAAGCAGAGAATATGGGAAAGAGGTCTGCTTGTGTTTTATTGATTATAGAAAGGCTTTTGACTCTGTGGATCATAAAAAACAATGGATAACATTGAGAATAATGTTAATTCCAGAACACTTAATTGTGTTCATATGAAACTTGCACATAAAGCAAGAGGCACTCATTTGAATAGAACAATTTGATACTTGAACGGCTTAAAATCAGGAAAGGTGTGTGTTGGAGTTGTATCCTTTCACCATATCTATTCAATCTTGAGGCTGAGCAAATAATCTGAGAAGCTGGACTATTATATGAAAAATGTGGAATCAGGAGTAGAGAAAGGTTTATTAACAAACTGAGATATGCAGATGACAAAACCTTGCTTACTGGAAGTGAAGAGGACTTGAAGCACTTACTGATGAAACAAAAGACTACACCTTTCAGTATGGATTACATCTTAACATAAAGAAAAAAAAATCTCACAACTGGACAAATAAATAACATCATGATAAATGGAGACAAGATTGAAACTGTCAGAAGGATTTCATTTTACTTGGATTCACAATCAATGCTCATGGAAGCAATAGTGAGAAAATCAAATTTTAGGCAAATCTGCTGCAAAAGATTTCTTTAAAGTGTTTAAAAGCAAAGATGTCACTTAGAGGACCAAGGTGCACCTGATGCAAGCCATAGTATTTCAATGACTTCATATGCATGTGAAAGCTGGACAATGAGCAAGCAAGACCAGAGCAAATGGCTACATTTGAATTATGGTTTTGGAGAAGATTAATGAAAGTACCAAGGACTACAAGAATAAGAAACTAATCTGTTTGGAAGAAGTATAACCAGAATGCTCCTTAGAAGCCAGAATGGCAAGACTTTCTCTCTCATACTTTGACCATGTTATCAAGAGGGACCAGTCCCTGGAAAAGGACATCATGATTGGTAAAGTGGAAGGTCAGTGAAAGAGAGAAAGAACCCAATGAGATGGAGTGACACAGTGGCTACAACAATGAACTCAAAACATAACAACAATTGTGTTTGGACCAGGTAGTGATTGGTTCTGTTGAGCATAGGGTAGCTAGGAGCATTTTAGGATGATGAATTAGCTTTTCTTCATTCTCCATCTGAAAATGACAGAAGAGTTTAAATATATTTATAAGAGACATAAATAACATTTCTCCCAAACTCTTCATTTGAATTAAGCCAGGCCCATTTCATCAAAAAAGTAATAAGAAAAGCACTACAGTAATAGGT